CCTCCCCTCACGTCTGGCTGACCGCGAAGCGCGGCGCCTGCCCGTGCCCTCGTTGCCGTTAGCTTTCTGTTTCCTGAGCGAGGTTTGGCTGGAAACTGGCGGTCGAGGCGTTTATTGGTGAAGAGCACTAATAACTGATGAAGGGAAAGACACCTGTAGTCTTCCTCATCTGGCAGTTGGGGGACTCTTCTTTAAGCTTTTCTCCATCTGCCGCCCCCCCCTCCCCCAAACCACCAAAAAAAGCTGGAGTCTGGTTTTCAGTGATTCTCCGTGTCTGAACACTTGGTCTGCTTTTTCTGGACTGACAGACTGCTGAGTGAAGGTCGCAGTGCAGGCTTTATGTCATCGTTCCGCAAAGGAATTTTTACTCAGTGGCATTATTTTCTGCAATAATTGAACTTTAGTGTGCTGCCTTGCTAAGGTTTGTCTTGTATTCTTCATACTTTACTTTGCTGAAATACATATATTTTTTATTGGTATACTAGTCTGAAATTCAGATGCCTCTCTATTTCTCTCTGGTTTGAAAATCATACAGTTATTTGGATTCACTTGAGGATATAACGGTAGCCCTAAAGTTTACAAGCAAATTGGTCTGGTGAACAGACATCTAATTCAGATTTGCAAAGTTATCTCTCTTAAAGCACAAATACTGTTTTCTGTTAAGCTAAATATTTGTTAGAGGAAACTATGTCTTTAAATGACTTGCAACATCAAACACTTCACAAACATTACTGTCTCTATTTTAAAAAAACCTTTTGTTTTCCTATAGAATAATCAACAAATAAACAAGGTCCTTTTCAGGAACTAAAAGGAAGTGAATGTTTGTGTTTTGTGTGTGTGGGTTTTTTTAGTTTTTCATTTATATTTCCTGGAAACAGTTTTTTTTAAACACTTTTCTGTACTATATCACTAGCGTGATAGCTCAGTAAAACTAATTTAGCTGGAATTTAGTGCCTGTAGAGAGAGAAACAGAAATGGTAACAAACAATATTACTAGTGAAAAATAAGCATGATTAATAGATATTAAGCAGCTCAACATGATTGTTACACTAAATGTAGACAAAAAACTTTTTTCTTGTCTTTAAAGTATGTTGCAAATACTGTGATGTTTGTTATTTTTGTCCAGCTGACTTCTTCGTTTCACAATATCAATAGCAGCTACTGTAAATATGAGTAATATAGCATACAAGTCCATCTCTTCCCACACTCTTCCTTCTCTAATTAAACTGTAAAACGTGTGGGAAGAGGCATTACCATCAAGACAGTGAACAATCTGATATCCTGTAAGTTTTGTTAGTGCTATGTTTTGTTTTATTGTGAATGTCTGGGTGTTTCTCTCTCAGTAAGCTGCCAGTGGATCCTTAAATTAACCACCTTTAACAGCAGGGTGGCAGTCATATACATACTTTCAAAGGAAAGGCTGTGCTTAAACACAGAAGTAAGATGTACCCTGCAGAGCCAAAATAGTGGGGAAAAACAACTAAATTTGAAGAAGGAGGGGGAAGGTAAAAACCCAGGCTTTATAAAGATCTGTGCTTAGGGATAGGCTGTTAGTATCTAAACTAAAAGATGGGAGTGGGTTGACATATGGTAGTGCAAGCGTGTACAGTTGGTTGAAGTGATTATGCAAGAAGGGCTTGAGTACATTTGCACAAGGGACAATTGAAAGAAACGCAGGTAAGTCATTTATAGATAGAACTCCCAGAGAGATTTATTTTGCTTTCTTTTCTGTGAAAGACTTGTTTGGAACAAAATTAACCTAGTTGTAGTTTATATTATATTTATAGACTGAACTTCAAAATCCACAAGGGAATCCCTTAAGGAAAATGTCAATTGCTCTAGGACACGTTCCCTGTGTGACGTTGAGTTAAAAACTCCCCTTGTGCTTCAGCCTTTTCTCTTACATAACGGAAATTCAGGAACCTTTGTCCTTACGAGGCTATTGGGAGGCAAGTCCCAGTGATGAGGTAGCATTTTTTTTTTTAACTTTATTGGTATACCTATCTGAAATTCTGATGTTATGATGATGAGGCATAAACATTTTTACAGTAACTAACTGTATAAATAAATCCAAATCAAATGTTCTGCTGCTCTATTGAAATAAGTGTGTTTATATAACGATTCACAGTCATTACAGAAGCACATTTTGTTTAAAAATGCTTTTAGAAGTTTTAGGGTTATTGGAAATTATCAGAAGTATAAAAGCAATAGCGTCAGTGCTGAAAAGCTCAGCGCAGAAAGCAGAGTGACATTTTTTGCCACTAGTCCTCCCTATCTTTTAGTCTGAAAAAGCCTGCCTGTTTTTTGGTCTTGATCTGAAAAGTACATAACTTACAACATCCAGTTCTCTTCCAGTTTGCTAAGAAACTGCAAACTTTTCTCCAAAGCAGTGAAAGAACAAAATTTAAATTGACACAAAAGTTAAGGAAAAAAATACTAGTAAGCATCATATTCGATTAACCATTTTTAGTATATGGTTGCAATAAGGGGAGAAGATTCAGTGCTTCCTGTGGGAGCTAGTGAAGAGTTATTACTGTGATCTACTCATGAATGAGACAATAGATATCAGTGGTGTCTATGCAGTGTTGAACTGCATGTATGGATTAGGACAAACTTCAGAACTTGGGCTTTTCTAACAATGGTGACGCGTGCTGTTCTTTTATTTTAACCGTACACAGCAAAACTTGTTACCAGGGCAAAAGCCACGTTTCTGGTATTAGCTAATGTGGATGATGAAAACTTTGATGAGCTCTGAAGTATCTTTGTTGTAATATTTAAATAACAGTGCCTTTATCTTGATAATTCTAGAAAATGAAGTGATTAAATGGGGTAGAGGAAAATCTTTTATTTAAACCATTACCAGGAACAGAGGATAGGGACCCTTTGAACATAGCAGGTGGCTTTGCATTGGTCACTATCTGTCTGAGACTGGAAAAGAAAATTTCCTAAATAGATGCTTGAGGTAATGTTACCGAACTAACTTTTTGTGTCTAAAAGGTTTTTGATGTCTAGAGAAATAAGAGCAAGAGAAACCTCCTGGATTAATCTAAATCTCCTAACTTAAAGATGAATTACAAACAAAAACCCGTAAGTTACCAAGCTAGGTTTATCATTTGACAGTTGCACAGACTATGGAACTTAGAGGTCAGAAATTACACTGCCCATCTCGAGGTAACTGTTTGTGAAAAGTAAAGGCAAGAGAACTTTTAGTACTGCTTTCTGAAGTTGAAATTGTATTAGAGAGGGACACCTGCATTTATAATTCAGAGATAGGTAAAAGGTGACTTACAAAAGGTTTCCTCAACTGTTGAGCTCTAGCTGTTTTTCTAATTGCTTCCTTTGTGGGGTAACACCTGCAGAATTTATGAGATGCAGTGCAGGTGGAGAAAGAGCAGGAGGCAAAATGGTCCTTTTTAAGGGGCTGGATGTGTGGAAGAAAAGGGAGGGAAATCATCAGCTATACTTGATGCAGTTCTGGGAAAGTGAGAGGAAAAAGATCTAGATGATAAAATGATTGTGAGTTCACAAGCTGCGAGTTCAAGAGATAGGAGAATAAGTGTTAAATACATGCAATATCCTTGGGACTATATAGGAAAAAAAATCCCAGTGTTTCTTTGTGAAGATGAATGATCTCATAAGATAGAAACAGAATAGTAGAATACGAGAATGAAATAAATAATTTTCTGTGTGTAATGTGTTCAGAGTGAAATGATGCATATGTGGCTTTTGTGTAGCTTGAAATGGTAAAAGAGGCAGGGTCTGATTGTGATTATAATAGCATAAGAATGAAGTACTCTTTCTGCCAGTGAGGATAATATTCCATGGACTAGCTGTTCAAGCCTCAAGCCACTTTCAACTATTTCAGGAGACCTCTGGGCCTGAAACGGAGTAGAAAGGAGAGAGTCGCTACGAGTTGTGCTTGTAGTTGCAGCTTCCTTATTTCTTACGGTTGTCGCTCTCTTTGGACCTTTCCAGGTGCAGACTTGGGAGACTGAGTCGCAGATCAACAGCTACTTTAATTGTTATGTAGTCTAATCTTGTTCTGAGGAGGAGTGCGCTACGTAGATAAGTACCTTCAGCAGTGAAATGTTGAAAAATTGCTATTTTCAGTTAGATGAAACAAAGAAGTGAAGAGTTAAGTGCGAGTATTGGGAAGAGAAAAGTGAAGCAAGCCTCAACAAATTGACAAGTGAATCTTAACCCTCATAAAATCAATAGGCAGAGTTTTAAAAAGACTTAGTTTCAGAGTTTTAAAAACACTTAGTTTGACATTTAAGCCTGAGTTCTTATGAATTTGGTGTGCTTGTTCAGGCTTCCTTGGAATTTACATGCAAATTGTTTGACAGCTGTGAAAGAGAAGTGTTCCTAGACCACTATGCTGGGAAGAGCAAAGGAGGAGGGAAACAGCTGGAGGGTGCAAACCGAAGCTTCGAGCCCAACGTTTTCTCTGTGTCCCTGCTGAGTGAAGCTCATCACTTCATCCCTGGGAGGGTAGCTGCAGAAACAGAAAAGTGTTATTGTCCTAAATGGACCCTAATTAAGAACATAATTTGTTCCACTCCACAGAATAGGTTTAATAATTCAGATCTAAATTAACTTTCTCAGCAGCAGAACAGGGAGTGCAGTTCTGAGAAACGACCTTCATTGTAGTACTGCTAATCTGAGAAGAGAAAGGGACGTTGGTTTAAAAAAAAAAAAAAGAGAGACTGGGACTATAGCTGAAAATAATGGAACTTTATATTGCAATTATGTCTCCAAGTCAGACTTCTCAAGTACTTGCAGGATCAGGGCCTTTTAGTTGAGAGACATCTGATTGCCTATAGGAATCAAAATGAAAAGGTATCATGGCACTACTGGAGAGAGTCCAGCGGACGGCTGCAAAGATGATCAGGGGACTGGAGCATCTCTCCTATGAAGAAAGACTGCAAGAGCTGGGCCTGTTCAGCCTGGAGAAGAGAAGATTGAGGCGATCTCATAAACGTGTATAAGTATCTGAAGGGGGAGTGTCAAGAGGATGAGGCCAGCCTCTTCTCCGTGGTGCCCAGCAACAGGACAAGAGGCAATGGGCAGAAACTGAACCACAGGCAGTTCCATCTGAGCATGAGAAAAAACTTCTTCACTGTGAGGGTGACAGAGCACTGGAACAGGTTGCCCAGAGAGGTAGTGGAGTCTCCTTCCCTGGAGAGATTCAAAACCCGTCTGGATGTGATCCTGGGCAACCTGCTCTAGGTGACCCTGCTTGAGCAGGGAGGTTGGACTAGATGATCTCCAGAGGTCCCTTCCAACCTAAACCATTCTGTGATTCTGTATCATATAAATGATGAAATGACAAGTTGGTTTGTGAGGGTCTGGAAATCATTTGAGTGTGTAAGTCCTTATTCTCAAATTTAGGGCCTGGTCTTGTGAAATGATTAATGTTCTTAACTCCTTTTGAAAACAAAAGAAATGAGACATTTGTATCTATCATGAAGAGAGCTAGAGTTTACTTCCTGCTCTGGAGCTTACTGTGCTTCAGGTATAACATATTACATTTGTTTGCATTTTTTCATAAATTACCAGTTTACTCTTGGTTTGTAATTAGTTCAGAATAAATGACTGGAATGATTAATTATTGCTGTATTGTTACTGTTGCATTTTATTTATGTGATTCCTTAAAAGGAAGTTGTCATAATATTGACCATCTTAATCTTTGACTTTCTTCTTCCTCCTCCCATGTGTGGAGAGTCTAGCTAACTGAAACAGCTATCTTGGCTTAAAAATACTACATATGAAAACATGATCTAAAAAGTTTTGAATGCTTTTAAAAAAAATGGTATAACTAATGAAAGTTTTATAAATGAGTGGTATGTAAAGCTCTCTGTTTCCCTGGATAAATACAGCTTTAACAGATGCACAAAGCCTAGCTAAAGGAGAATCTAGCTTTTGGAAAAAATACCGTTATCTCCAACTAGAAGAAACTGTAGATAGGACATTTTTGTTTATCAGAAAATCAACAGCCGGAGCAGGTATTACAGCTTCGCTGAGTAAGAACCCTTAGATTCTTTTCAGTCAGCAATGAACACTCAGTTTTTATTTCAGAGTTGCTATGGATGCCCACGTATGGGCAGCTAAACTTAATTGTACTGAGCATTATGCTCATCTCTATAGTCTTATTCCCTAGTTCTTTGTGCTTCATGGAGCTGAGTTGTACAATACGTGGAGAGTTACTGCAGAACTTGCCTGCCTTGCCTGGGATGGTGAGTAGATAATTACAGGAGGTACTGGAAGACTGCCAGCAACTGAGAGTACAGTAACTTGTGTTGTCCTTGCCAGCTTAAGTGAGAGTCTCTCATAGGCCATCTAGGCTTATTTTAAGCACTACCAAAACTGCATGAGAGGGCTTTACCTGCAGAAGGAAAATAGAGGAAAGAGACAAATGGGAGTTTAGTTTGAGGTGACTCTGTGGAGAAGGTACAACTGACAAGTAATGGGACTAGAGGGTACTTAACCTGATTTAGTGTGTCATGCCAAGATCAGCTGAAGCTACGTAGGACTGAGCCACTGCCAAATCAAGTAGATTCTTGGGCTCCCTGTCACCTGCAGTTGCACATTTCTGCAGTCTCCTTTACACTGGTGCTCTTGCAGCTACCTGCTGAATGACGTTAACTTACTGCTCGGACAGCGGGGTGGGGGGTGGCAGAGGAGGAACATGGCTTTTCCTGCCTCCTCTCCTAAAAGTAATTTATTTTCAGTGAAATCAGCAAGCTAGTTTGATTTTACTGCATGGACTCAGTGCTGCTGTGTAAGTTGGTTATGAAGTGTCATCATTCCTGTGATCCATGTTCTTTCTTGGTAGAAGTTCATTTGGGTTCAGAAAAATAATTTAGTCTCTCTGACTTAGTTCACCATGTCACAGCTGAGTTGTGGTAAATTACTGTGTATGTTTGCAAAGAGTTATTTTTGGTGTTTTTTTTTTTTTTTTTTTAAAGATAGTTATTACCAGTGGGTTGTCTGATCCAGCTGCCTCCTAGACAGCGTTCATAACGTTCAGAAGAATGGAACTTTCCTAAGGCTTTGTTTCAGTGCAAAATCAAGAGCCTTACCTAAAACAGTTGAAGAAGGTGGCTTTAAGATGCTATGGACTAAAGTAGGTGGGCTGAGTGCACATTCCCATTTTCTGACATTGCAGTAAGGGTGTCAAGAGAATGGAGTGGGTAGCTCTGGACAATATCTTCTTAACTTACTTCAGTAAGGTTTAATGGTGTTGGCATATCTGGTTTGTGCAACTTCTGTACCTGATAGCTGTATCCCGAAGGATAAAAATAGTTGAATTTGTCTAATATTAATCCGTCTGTCTTCTTGAGGATTCTAGGATGGTGTCAGATGTGGTAGTTACAGGGTTAAATACAGAGCAGATCCATAACCAAAAAGTTGTTCTTTCCAACCAGTAACTGCCTCTGGGACTGACTGATGGCTGCTATCTATCATCCATTGCTGCTGGGTAGAACCAATTGTGCTTAACAGATCTGAGGAGAATTCACACACATCTAGTATCATATTGACAGCTTTCACCTTTTCCTCCACCAATTTTCAAAGCAGGATGTTTTGGTTATTTTAAACAGCAACCTGATTAAGTAGTACCTCTAATTTGGCATCTCCCAAGTTTTTATTTCTTATTTTTAGTTGAATGAAAGTGGAGCTGTGCTTCAGAGCTTCTGCTTCTGAGGAAAATGAGCAAGGGACGCCATTTGTGTACCTTTTGAGAGATACTGTGTGATGAAAAGGTTAATGTATTAGTTGTGCAATCCTGAATGATGGATTTGGAATACCACTTCTGTAAAAACAGGATTAACAGATGAAAACTGTAGAATAATATAGCTTGGACATAGAAACCTCATCAGAATTTGCCAAACTACTTAGCAGTTCTATACAGTATGATAATGGCAAAAAAGCTGCTTATGTAACAGTTCATAGAAAACTACTGTGCAATAAGGTCACCCAAAAAACAAATTAAGTGGTGTTACGCTTTGTAAGGTGACGTGTACGTTTGAGTGGCTAGAGCGGTCAGGAAAAGAAGGGTTTTTATTGTGTATGCTTTACAGGTCACCATGGAAGATGGAAACAATCCAAATACATACAAAGAGTACCACTGAGTATTGGAAGAGATTTTAAAGTCAAGATATGGGTTTAAATGCTAGTAACGGTGTAATTAGCAGGCAAGATTAGCTCTTCTCGATTAATCTTCTATTCAACAATAGCCCCACCATACCATTTCTTCCACAGAGCTATACTTACGATGTTGAATCCACCTTGACTTACATGCTGTCAAGGTTTATCCAAGTATAATAGCTTTTATGAAGGTCGATATTTTAATTATTTATTGTACTAGACTTTGTGTGGCAGATGTATTAATTAAAGAAAAGCTACAATGCTTTTATGTTGAGCCACTCATGTGGCTCAACATGAGACAGTCGTGTAGCGGAACGGCTTAAAAATATCTTCATACGACAGTCATTATTATGATTTCGATTTAATGTTGGGTGTACTTGATTTTATTTTTCCACTGCCTGTTTTTTTGGACAATTGCTTTGGCTTGTGATAGATGATATAAAACAGTAAATTTGATGTACACATTTACAAAAATACAAAAATAGTCCAATATCCTGGATATCTCAAATATAAAATCTTTTTACTGTGTAAATAATTGCATCATATTCATGTAACTGTACAGAGACCTTATTAATCTAGACAATTATTTAAGACTAGTGCTGCTTCAATGTCACTTGTGCTTTATATAAATATATAAAAAAAATCATACTGACATTTCTTAGCAGTGTTCAGATTTCTTTCTCTAATTCTAACAAAGCCTTCTTCTATAATGATTGTTTTAAGAGTGCCATCTAGTGTCTAGAGCTTTTCAATATGAATTGTGATTTATAAGTTAATGGAGAATTTTATTAGGTGATGGTGCAGAATAATTATTACAACATTATTTTATATTAAACTGCTATGGGACAGTTTAATAGTAGAAATGTGACTTTTGACAAAGTGTAAAGAAAATGAATTTAAGTGAGTTTTTAATATATTGTCAAAACTATTAATTTCAGCTATATTATTGTATTCAGCTATTTTAATCTTGTGTGTTTGAGGTGTTCCTGCAGCATTCTTGAAATGAACTTTTTTATTTTTGTGTCCTCTTAGCCTTCATTTAGTATCTCACCAGATTCTATACTCATTTTTAATATAGAAACTGATATTATTTTCTGTTGCTTACCTACTTTATGTAGGCCTTCTAACTTACAGAAAGACAAATGTGTGCCTTATAAACTACTGCAGATATGCGCTGAGGAGCTTGTTTTTTGAATAATGAATTGTTAATCTTATGGGAGCTTATTGATTTTTTTAATATTCTTAATTGATATAAAATGTTTATAAACTTAAACATTAATGGAAGTCTTTTCTTTTCATTTTTGTATATTTTGTTTAATGTCAGAAATGAGCAAAAATTGAAAATTTTTTCCCAAATCATTTCCCTTTCAGTGTGTTATATGTGAAGTGACAATGTATATTTGAAACTTCTCTTTCCTTTCAAGATAGGATTGCAGTCCACTTATTATTCAGGCAGAATGTCTTTAATAGTGTCTTATATTTAAATCTTTTTAGCAAATAGTGAAATGACCACTTTTTCAAACCCTATGTTTTTGTTCTTAATTCTGTATTCTTTCATGGATGTTGTATTCTGATTTCTATTTCAGGAACTTCAGCTCAGGAGGAAGATGAAAGATAGCATCCCTGAAGAACATTTGTATTTGGGTTTTTCACATCAGTACGGAGATAGCATCTTTCCTCTTCATACATCTATTTCGCTATTTTTGCTGTCCTACTGTGACTGCAAATTATTCAAAATTTTCTTAGTGCCAACTGGTGAAAATGCAGATGACCAGCTTGTGACAAAAAACCTCTCTCTCAATCTTGAAGTTTGCTTAATCTCCAGATGTCAGCTTCCTGTGGTGGTACAGAGCTGCTGTTTACCTGCTGTTGTCGTGAAAGATGGCAAATTCTGTCGAGCTGGCCTCTCTGTTGTCTTAAGGCACATAATACAGAAAACATACCAGGCAGATCCATCCAAAAAGGATGTTTTGGAACTTCTAGGCTTTAAGAAGACCTGCTTAAAAGCTTGTGCTGAGGTGAGTGCATCTTTTTTTGTTAGATATATTAATAAGTTTTTTAGTAGAATGGAATACTCCTAAGTATTCTGTAAACTGAAGTTTCTCAATAAGAAATTTCTTGCTTAGAAAATTAAAGGTACGCAATGGAACAACTTTTGGAATTTGGCATAAGGGTGAAAACTAATTCTTTTTAGAGACATAAATATTTAGCAGCACAAGAAGAACCTTAACATTCAAACAACGGGTCAAATCTTTGCTTCATGTTAAGCAGTATATTTTCAATGAGCTATAAAGTACAGCTGTGCCAGTTTGGAACAAATGAAGAATCTGGCATTCTGAAATCAAAATGAACAACAAATCAAGTATTTCTTAATCTACTGAATTCAGATTCCCAAAAGTAGGGTGCTGGAGTCATCATGTGTGGAGTCATATATGTGATAAGCAAGCGGTAGTCCTGGGTTTACAGAGAATGCAGGATCAGATTGTAAGTCTGTAAAGTTAGGAGTAGAATTTTCAAATGGACCTAATTCTCACTATCAGAAGTGATGTAGAAAATTAAGAGTTTACACTAGTTCAGAATTTTTGAAAATTTTGCTGTGAATGTAAGACATAGCATTACAAATATAAACTTATTCAGTCTAGTCCCTACTGTACTTACCACTTTTCTACCCTCGTTTCACATCTTAAAAATACTAATCTTTCCAATTATATTCCAGCAGACTAATGGGTGTTTTCATCCCCTTTTAATGGTACTGAAATGCATGTGACGGCAGATTGCGTGTTTATGTGCCTCTCTTAAATCAATCCACACATGCAGTTAACTGCATGTCATTGAATTATTTTGGACTTCAGATCTGTGCTCCTAAAGTTAAGTCCTTAAAGATATGAAACTTGAGTGGCCACCCAGGGAACCAGCACAAATTGTTTCCCTAGAAGTAAAGGTCCTTAACTAAAGGTCAAGTCAAATTTTACTGGAAGGATTTGGGCAGTGTAAATTGTTCTCCAAAGAAATATGGAATTGTCCACAGAAGATATTTCTTGGTAAAATGCTAACTAATATATTTGTGCTTTCTAACGTTGAGTCGTGCTAATTATGGCTGTTAGCATTTCAAGAATGTGCACTCTTTCCAAAACCCAGTGTTTTACTGAAGAGTAAGGGAAATGGGATTTAACTGAGCTAATTTGTTTGGAAAAATTCCGAAAAGCAAGAAGATGATTCTGAGAGCAACTATTGTCTTGATTTCTAAAACTGATTATATTTGAGTATCACATTTTCTTTATAATACTAATGTATTGTACTAACTGTTGATTCAGTAGCATTCTTGGGGAGAACACATTGTGATGTAAGATTGTGTGGCTGATTTCATGTAGGTGGGTAAAACCATTGTGAAGATGACGGACTAGCACTTGTGAATCAGAGTCATTCAGGCTGGAAGGGACTTCCTGCTCAAATGAGGGTAAACGCTGGATTGAGACCAGGTTGCTCAGGGCTCTGTCCAGTCAGCCTTGAACCTCCAAGGATAGAGACTGCACGACCTGTGTGGGCAGCCTGGTCCAATGCTTGACACAATGAAAAATGTTTTCGTCATGTCAAATCAGAACCTCCTGTATCTCAATTTATGCCCATTATTTTGTTCTCCCACAGAACAGCCTCTTTCTGTCTTCTCAGTAGTCTTTTTCTAGGTGTTGGAAAGCTGCTGCTGGGTTACCCTGAAGCCCTTTCTTTCCCAGGCTGAACCAGCCCACCTCCTTCAGCTGTTCTTCATATGGGCCATGTGCTCTAGCCCCTGACAGTTGTCATGGCCTTCCACTGAATGCAGTCAAGTTTATCAGTATCCTTCTTTTTTTTTGGGATGGGAAAGGCAGCACAGGATGGAGTAGTCCAGATGTGGTTTAAAACAAACCATGAGTGAAGGGGAACAATCACTTCCCTTGATCTGTTGGCCACGCTTCTGTTGAGATGGTGCCATACGTTGTTGGCCTTCATCGCTGCCAGGACGCACTGCTGGCTAATAATGTAGCCTATTATCCACGAGAACACCCAAGGTCTTCTCAGCAGAGCTGCTGCCTGACCAAGTCGTCATTCCCTAGCCTGTACTGTTGCAAGGGCTCAGTCCGTCCTGGATGTAGGACTCCATACTGAATTTCTTGAGGTTTTGTGAGGTTCCTGTCAGCCCGTTCCTCTAGCCTGTCCAGGTCCCTGAATGGCAGCCTTATCCTGGAGTATACTGACTGCTCCGCTCAATGTGGTGTCATCCACAACCTTGATGAAAGTGTATTCTATCTTCTCCTCTAGGTCATTGGTAAAGATAATTAATAGGCTAGGCCTCCACATAGATCCCTGAAGAGCTCCGCTTGTAACTGGCCTTCAGGTAAGGTGTGAACTGCTAACTACTGCCCTTTGAGTTGACAGTTCAGCCTAGTTTTCATCTATCTAACAGTTTACTCATTTGGTAGCCCACACATCTAGGCTTGCCTTCCTCACTCTCCTAGGATGTTGAACTCCACTACTTCATGGTTGCTGCAGCCAAGATTGCCATTGATTACCATGTCCCCAACCCAGTTTGTTCTTGTTGGTCAGTAGCAGATCTGGGGCAGCATATTCTCAGGTTGGCTCATCTAGCTCTTGGATTAAGAAATTATCCCTGATGTCCTCCAGAAACCTCTGATTTAAGTCTGTTTTTGAAACAACTGAAAAACTTATTAAGCTTCCATGGTTTGAATTGCTGCAAAGTTGGTAAACGGAATAAGAAAAGTAAGAGTTTAAAAGTTTTAAGACCTTTAAGTACAAATAATAAAGAATTAGAGGACAAGGATAAGAACATGAAAAAATCAGAAGTAATATTGTTAAGTTATTGTTCAGTTAGACTAAAGCTTTTTGATGTTCCATGCTAAAAATATTACTAGTGCTTTTCTGTAAAATAAATACTATGCTCAAGATAGGTTTGGTGTAGTCTTCTGGTTTTATTGGCACTCAGTGAAGATGACAGATTGATCACAGTTTTGCCTCTCACCCTAATCTTATGCCAATGATAAGGAATAAAAATATTCTGTGCTGGATAACTGTGTATTCTGTTACATATAAAAGTTAGCTTTCCTATTCTGCTATTGCAAAAGTAATGCAAAGTATCTGAGCTTCTAAGATTATCATATAATGTATTTAAAGCTGGAGTTAATCATCTTTGACTGGAATGTCTTTGCTTTAAGTGGTCAAAGAGATACCCCGGATTTTGTTTTTCCTTTTAGTAGATAGAGAATGTATTAATTGTATAAATTTATCTGACAGGTTAGCCGGTGGACCAGACTTTGTGAGATCAGCATACCTCTGGCTGTTGAAAGATTTTTGACGGGATCTCCTGAGAACTGTCAGACTATTCCTCCTGACGTTTTAGAGCTTGAAAGGAAGCTTGGAGAACCTGTCCGAGTGCATAATGATGACAAAATCCGAAGGCAAAAACTTCAACAACAGAAGGCAGGTGCCAAGGCTGCGCTGCCTGTACTTGCTAAAGAAGCAGCAGAAGGAGGAGAACTGGTAGAAATGCATGAGCATCCACTTCCAAGTTTGGAACTGAGCATAGCTTTCTCCAAACTGCTTGTCCAGGAAGGGTCAGCTACAGTCAACAGGGAGCCTCCTCACATCAGGAAAACAAAAACCTCTGACCTTCCACCTTTGGACCATGTTTTTGCAGAAGGGCTTTATTTCACCTTGGCAGATCTAGTGCTTTTGCCATGCATCCATCAGTTTTTGGTAAGACAGAAACTTCTACAGATATTAAGTAGTGTGTATGTATTTTTTTAAGAACTGAAAAATTGTAAAATATGTTCACCGAGACCATATTGCAGCATTTGCTGTGTAAACTTAACCTGAAACAGAAGACTTGTCTTTGTTTTTGTTTTTATACATAGTAGGGATTGGTGTGATCACCAACCTTAGTTTTTAATATACAGTGTATCAGTATGCAATAAACACTGTTTGCTCTTAAACTAGTACGCTGAAATATTCTTGGGCACAAAGCTGTCCAGAAAACTGTTTTTCTAAACATTATTTCCTCCTTCTTCCATACTGTCATTAACTGTTTATTTTTGTGCTTTTATATGTATTGATGTGTGGCTGTTAGTGATAATGCAGAATAGTGTTTCTCTTCTGTCACTTCTGCTGTTTGAAGTTCATGAGGAGAGGTGCAACATTCAAAGTAAATAACCTGTTATATCTGAAACAGCATCTTAAAACAAGAAGAAAAGCATCAAGGTCAGTTTGGTCAATGTTTTCAGGGTGCAAAAAAACCCCGCTGCAGTTGTTCACTACTCTAAGTTAGCAATAACAACTTATAAATCCAAAATTAAGGGTGCTCTTAAAGCTGTTGGTGGTCGTCTTCAAGTCTAGACACTGCTGACAGAAAAAGACCGGTGGTTATATCTTTAATGACAACAAATATATTCAAAACCATCCTATATGCAATTTCTAAAATTACTAAGGATCTCAGAAGCATTTTGATTGTGGATGTCTGTACCAGCTAATTGAGTATGGTTTAAATGTGTTAACCAAACATGATCTAAACCCAACTTTTTTCCTGGTATACATGGAAGATACCTTCCTGCTTGAATGCAATCTGTTAAGTTATAGCAATGACTCAACAGAAATTTACTAAAATGAGATTGTTTTATCCATGAGGATTTTTTTGAGATCTGGAGTTTTGATTCTATTGTAAATCACAAATTTTAGAAGAAGAGAGGTTTGAGAATGATGGAATAATTTGGAAAGATGAGAAGAGAGATCCACTATGAGAGATTTTTTAAATGGGTACTTAAAGTGCATTGTAATGTGCATAAAATGAAAGTAGGTAAACATGAAGATGTCTTAGCTGCAGTCTTCTCTATTTAATTTTGGTTACAGTGTACTGGTGGGGCAGGGCAAAATGAGATCCTAGGCAGTTTTGTTTTTCTCTCACTACATGGATAGCGCCTGAATTGAAATACTTTTTGGCTACGATTCAAAGCTTTATATGACCTTATCTCAACATGGACAGACATGTCTAAAAATAGAGATGTCTCCTAGAAGAGTAAAAATGCTTTTTATGGAGGCAATGAATAGAAAGACATTCAGAGACTGTGGTGGCTTTTTAGAGATGCAAATCCTTGACTTTCCTTTCATATATCGGAGCCGAAGAAGTACTCGGATATCAGCCAGTGGTAGACTTCCACAAACTCATTCATGTATGCTAGTGCTATCTAATTTGTTGAGATTCCCTTGAGATACTTATTTTGGTCTACAAACGCTTTCTTTTAAAGCACAATATACTATGACTTCTAACTGCTTATTTCTCCTTCTTGTATGTTAATATTTTTAATCTATACTGTTATTTTCTTCTGGTTCCTAGAAATGTCTGCTTTGGTTGGGAGGAAACGTTCTTATGTGCAGAAAGTCCACACTTTCCTTCAGAGGAGGTGGACAGTGTGGGTTTTTGTTTTTGTTTTTTAGTCTCTTATGTAAGAGCAGTTCATACTTCATCTATCAGATGGTGTATGTGTTTTCAAAACACCAAGAGTGTGGTCTAATCAGACACCTTTGTTTCTTTTCTCCTTTGCAATCACCTAGCCCGTTCCCAATATTGGACAAAAATCCATGGGCTGCTTTCAGTTCTCTTCATCCTTGTCTTTTTCTTCCACATCAGAGGTTTTTGCAGCATGATGAGGAAAAGCAGTATATGTTAGCAAAGTAATATAGTGACTGTAAATTGTTTATAGTAGACATATGAAAAATTTCATTATGCTTGCAGGAATATTTCTTGCCTTGTGGGGTGTTTGGAGATTTCAGGTCTCCCAGTCTATATGTATGGGGAATCGCAAATCTCCAAAGGGTTTCACCAGAATAAAAAGGGAAAAGCACTGACATAGCTAGTAGTCAGGGTACCATGTGGAAAACTAGGGAATAAATCTTTGCTCTTCTGACATTACCTAAACACCACCTCAAATGACAAAGCTGATTTAAGAAGTTGCTGCACTATGCAGTTTGTTAGCCTTGTGGTTGTATCAACTCAGCTGTAACTTGGATCAGTAATATATTATTGCTTCTGTACCTTTAAATCAATTATTTGTTAAAAAGTCTTCTACCCTTTTGTAGAGAGAGCCTTAGTCGCTTGGATATTGACTCCTTTTTAGTGGGTCTCTTTTGCCTGTTATTTGTAGAGCTCTCTCTGTACAGAGTTTATTTGGGCCTGGGAAATAAAGATTCCATTTGCAGTTTGCTTACAGCACTCATCTAGTAAATGTCAGTGTCTTGCAGATCCTGGAGATGTAGATTCAAGTTCTGTTGTGCAAATGTCATAGCATCTGGACGAGGAAAATATGTGAGGATATGACTTGAGCTTAATACAGCCATCAGATTTCTTTTTTTTTCCTTTTCTCACCTTTAGAAAGAGAGGCAGGGCTGAGTAGTGCAAATCACTTGAGCTCAGCTTCAGGACCAATTTTACAATGGGAGAAACTCTCCTGTTGCAAGACTACATGAGAGTCTTGCTCAGCATATCAGTGTAGTTAGGTTTATGAGGATGTATGCATGGAAAAGAATTAAGGAAGTATCTGTGCTTCACCTAACAATTACAGATAAAATGATACAGCAGAGTTGCTTATAAAGATTATTCCTGCAGTTACTCTAAAAAGAGTGATAGCTGAACTGGTGTCTGTTGCCAAAAGGAGCTCTTAGTGAAATTAGTATTTGCATTTTGATATAAATTCTTTTGCCAGATTTGCCTTATGGTGTTTGAAAACAAAAGCAATTCCTGGAGAAGATGCTGTCAGTCAGGTTCAGAGAAACGATCTCTAAAATCAAGGCAAATACTTATTAACACTAATGTGTCAAATGCCCACTTTGTAACTTTTTTCACCGAGGTCCCTATCTTTAGTGGATCTCCTTGTGATGGCACCAAGAGGGGAACCAGAAGCAGATTTGCATGGCTGCTTTTGAATCAAGAAGATAGTTACTTTACAGAAATGATTATTAATGCATCTTTGCTTTGTCTGTTTGGCAAATCACACACAATTGAGGATTAACAGCAACTTCTGTTATGGATGGTGATAATAAATAAAATCTGTGAGACAGATTGCTTCCCTACTGTCTTAAAAGCTTTAATATATTTCAATCTTTTTCCAAGATCTTTTCTAAACAAGAAAAGCATTTTTTATAGTAATGTTTGATTTACTGATGCTATGTATGAGAAGAATCCTGGATCAGACTCTTAATCAATTTCAGCAATCCAATGAAATCTTCCTTTAGATATATCCTGAACAGCTGGGAATGCTATATTTATTTGCTACTAGTTTGTGACCCTTGAGCCCTGGCGGTGTGCAGGTTATGAACTTTATATTGCATAGTGCCTTTTTGCTAGCTTGCATCAAGGATTGTTTTGCAAAACTAAGGCTTTCAGTTTCATTTCTGTCTATATTGTAAGAGCTCTGGAGTAAAGTTACTTTCTCTCTGTTCTCTAGTGAATGGTCAGTTTTCTGAGCAGTTACATCTTGAATTCTACACTTACTAAATTTAATAACCTGCATTTGTAAGCTTCTTGCAGGTAATTGGTTGAAACTAGTTGTCCCACTGGTGTTGATAGAAGCACTGGGGTGTTTAATGTTATGTTAAAATGTTACAGATCACTTTTTGTACCTGGACTTCCAGGGTCGTGTTTTAAAAAAAATCATTATTTTTATGCTTCACTTTAAGGATACAAGTAATAATGAAGTATACGGTAGGTGTATGTCTGGAATCATACAATAAATAAATGGAGACTAGACCAGCTGATCGTTACCAAAAGTAAGATAATGAAGGTGAAGAGTTGTTTTCCATAACACAAATGGAATGAGGTAATCTTTCTGAGGTTAGCCTTGTTATGTGTTCCATTAATTGTAGCTGTTTGAAATTAACAGAAGAATAACAAAAGCTCTGCTCCCCATCTGGGAGAAACCACCATTCGCTTTTAAAAATGCAGTTATCAAGTGGAACAGTGTCTGTCAGAATTGCCTTCCAAAAGCCTTCTTCCTTAACAGAATTAACTTATTTCTGCCTGTGTTAATATTAGGATATTGAATTAGGTATTAAAATTACATGGACGCTTAATTCATCCTCTTTTTACTCCTTTAGATATTACTAATTACTCGTGATTGTCCTAAGATAATAAAACACAGCATGAAGAAAGCTGTTCGAAATTGTGTCATTTCAAGTGTTCTTTACCAGTTTCTGTTTCCACACTGAATAGAGAGAGAACTGTGCAAGAGCACTTTTTTACATAATCTTTTCTTTTCTGCCTTTTAATGTAATCATGATTTGTAATTTTATGTTTAAAGCAGGCACAGAATGACAGAATAGTCAAGGTTGGGAAGGGCCTTTGGAGACTGTCTAGTCCTGAAGTCAGCTACATACAGCAGGTTACCCAGGACCATGTCCAGTTGTGTTTTGAGTATCTCCAAGCCTCTCCTCCTATGTCAGGTGTTCCAGTCCCTGAATCATCTTTGTGGCCCTATGCTGGGCCTGCTCCAGTGTGTCCCCCTCTCTCTTGTACTGTAGAGCCCAGAACTGGAGGACCCTTTGCTCCAGGTGCAGCCTCCCCAGTGCTGAGCAGTAGGGAAGGACTGCCTCCCTGGACCTGTGGCAGTGCTCTTCCTAATGCTGCCGAGGATGCTGTTGCCCCTTGCCACAAGGCTGTGTTGCTGTCTCATACCCTGCTCGTGGCAACTGTGTATAGCATCTCAAAGAGGGCTGTGACCTCCTAATTTGTTTAGTGACCTGAAGGTAGGGTAGAAAGAAGAGATACTTTGTAGTGCAGCCTTATAAAAAATAAATGTAATATATTATGATGAAAACACTGTTTTATTCCTAATGAGTGTATTTTTGTCTGCATTTTTTAGCAGTTAGAGATACTGAACATATCCTGTGATGTTGTCTTTAAAAAAAAAAAAAAAAGTATTTCTGGTAAAAGTAAAACTGAGACAGACGGTTATTTTTTGCAAGTTTGAGTTGTTGATCTCCCTTGAATAGCCTGGCAAAAGTCTTGCCTACCCTTCAGCTGTCTTAATAGTTCAGTCATTTTGTGCTTCTAAAGTTCTCCAAAATGAAGATCATAGCACAATATATTGTTTTTCTGTATTTTTGAAATAAAGGAATGCTGGTTTGCATGTTGATGTATTGCTAAAGGGCTCTCAAATTTCTCTTAATAACATTAATTTTAGTTAATTCATATATAGGATTGTGGGCTCTCTGATCCAGCGAGGGCCTAAACAAATTACATTTCCCAAGTATTAGCATATCATGACAATACTCTACTCTTCACATGCACGTGTTGTAATCCTTCGCAGTGCAAGTTCCACAGAAAGATGAACTTTCAAAGAAGTAAAATACTAATTTGTTCTCGTTAAGCAGTCTCTGACTGCTTAATAAATAAAATAAATTGTTCTATCTCAGTTTGATCATGTGTACATTTAGACATGCAAAAATTCGTCATTTCAGCTAAATGAAGTTTTGGTCCAAAGGAATCACAAACATTCATGTCACCAGCCTTTCATTTTAAAGTTACTATTACCGTTCAGTATTTCTTTTCCCCTTACTTTTCACCCTTTAAAGCAAACGCAACACAAACTAACACTGCAATAATACAAGTGAAGAGCTCTGATACCAATTCCACAATTGTGAGCCAATACGAAGATGTCTCCGGAGTGAATAAAAAACAGAATAACAACAATTTAATAATCAGATAATTTAAAACTTATTTAAATACAGTTTATTAAATGTATTTTTATATTTATAGTATATCATCACTTTGTTCTCTTGAAAATCAATTATCCTGTTTGCTGTGTAATTTGTAAATTAAATACTGAACTAATGGGAGTTTATGGCTCTGTATATGGAGCTTGAGTTTGGTAAAGCCAGCTTTTGGCAGCAGCTATTTGGAACCAATTTCTGGTTTACTGCAGTTACACTGTAGAGAACTATGAAGAATTTAGAAAGTTGAAAATGTTGTAAGAAGCTGAACTTTACTGTTCCCAAATATTTGGGAACGTGAACAGAAATTACTGTAGATCACCAACTGCAACAAACATTCTTTTTTAAATCAGCTGGTCTTTATGTAGAAGCATGGTTGGGTAACTTTTGTAATATGTGCACCATATTCAGATTTGAGGATTTCATTTTTTCTATGCTTTAAATTCCAATTTCTGTTGAAGGCAACTTGACCACTGTCATAAATATTTAATTAAAAAAGAAGTATGCTAGTCACCATCTTTGTTTAAAAAGATGCTAACGGGTTTGAATAAACAAAAACACATTTTTTTTTTTTAAATAAGTATGTTTGGATCCAGTGCTAGTAAAGAAAGGTTCCATGTCTGGTGCAAAAACTTCAGCAAAGGCAGGAGACAACATAAGCCTGATCCATTCTGGTGTTAGCACATAGTCACAGGCATTCCAGACTTGCAGTTGCTGGCTAAGCAGGTGCCAGTGGATGAACTGTTAAGGGCAGCAGGATACCTGGGGAAAAGAAAAGCAGTCAGGTACCAAAATGTCTTGTTTACAGTATTCATTGCAAATTACTGTATTTTTGTATTTTATTTTGCATTTTTTACCAACCAAAGTGAATCATTCTTATTATTTAAATTGTTTTCCTGCTGCTGACTGAAATTACGATGAAAATCAATCATTTAAACTTTTTCCTTACGTAAAGCACAGGGATTGCAGATAACATCAAACTGGCAAACTAGCAATTACACTTGTAGGGCTGAGCTCTTAACTGGCTTTTTGCCTTAGCAGTGCACTGAGTGAATGTGTTGAGGGACAGCACAGAGCCAAGGTCCCTTCCATAGTTGCCTTCTCTTTGTGGCTTGAAGGAAGAAAACACAGTAGCAAGTAACCTTTCCATTTTATTTTCTAGGTTTCCTGCAAAAAGCAAGGCAAAAATCTGTTCAATTTGCCTCTGATATCCAGTTGGTATCAAAGAGTTCAGGAAGTACCTAGAGTAAAGCAAGCGGCTGACAAATGCAATATGCAGCTTCTCCAGCTTCCAGAGTTGCAGTCCACTCCTGAGGAACAGTTACAAAACTCCTCTTTGGTTCCTGATGAATTAGAAGAGGAGCATGAAGACAATCATTTTATAGGTGGTCCAAGGCCAACTATGACTAAATTAATGGTAATTAAACATTTTAATATATATTTTTTAATGGTAGTATTCTACTTGAATTGGAATAGGGGAAATTTAATAGAATTTCAGAAGCTAAGTCTTTGGTAGCTTTCAACAGTTTAATATGTTCTTGTCTGTCTTCTGTAGTATATATGTTGACTTAGAAGTGATTTTCCTGTTTTTTGTTCTGTTATGATTTCTGATTCAGGAGTTGAGCAAAGATAAAACTGCTGGAAGCGCTAATAATCAGTAGTTTTGAATAAACAAAATAACCTTTTGCTTAAATTACAATATTATATTTCTTTATTAAAGGTAGATATTTATAAAAATTATGCAACAAAATGTTCCTTTTTTCTTTGGTTTCATTTCTTTTTTTTTTTTTTGTTTTTGCTATTTCCTCAGAGCTCTGAACAATGACTTTTGATTAAAGAAGACTCTCCGCTGCATTCCATAACTCTCCCTTTTTTTTTTATTGCATATGGACTGACAGTATTTCCTAAATCCAGGGATTTCTTGTGAAAATGAAAGAAATAGATAATTCAAATCCCATATAATGTTGAGTCAGCTGCCTGTTTAGTTCAGGGTTGAATATAGCTTGATTTGGTGCCATTGAAGTCAGTGGGAATTTTGCTGCCAAGTTCAGTGGATACAGGATCAGAGCCTTAGGAAGTTAATTTTTTCCCCCTTTTATGTAGGAAAGTGGTATTGAGGCAAAGTTTTCTCCTCATCCATGTCCTAACTGGACCCTAGACTGGAACAGTCTACCAGCTGCAGTCAGTCCTGGAGAAGGTAAGGGATTTTCTATTTGTTACTTTTCTTTTTGCTTCTTAACCGTGCCTTTTTCTGTTGAAGCTACTTAACTGTTTCATAGGTAAATATATTACTTTTCATCAATATATTCTGAAGCTCTGCAAAACAGGTATTCAATTTTAAATCTTTTTAAATACAGGCAGTCTGAGACACATGGTGAGATGACTTGCCTGAGGTCATCAGTAGCTGATGGCCAAGCTTGACCTTGATTCCAGTGCCATACTTTTTCCCACTGTGCTGCTTTCCTGAATTTCTCTACATATCTAGGACAGTGATTTCTGACTCTATGATATAAGTTTGGGAGCTATGCATCAGCCTTCCCTTTTTGTGAAAGAGTTCCCTGCCCTGTGGGAGTGGTTTGCTTTCCCAGATTGCACAGTGGTCCAGTGGCTATAGTTCTACAAAGACAGCAGGGGATTTATCACAACATACTTTGTTCTTTTCATCAATGTTGTAAATATTGAATACCTCTTCTTCCACACAGTAGCTTTTTCTCTGGAAGGTCTTATACATTCTGCTGGACCGCAAGAAGTTAGTGGACAGCAGCTCCTCTCTACAGGAAAGAAGGCTTGTGTTCTCATGTGTAAATGAGAGAACTTAGGTACTTGAGTCAGTCTAGTCTCACTGACATGGGACTTCTGTTTTGAAGAGATACAGAAATACACATGCAATGTATAGGTGCTCTTCAAGGCCAGTTGAACAACCAACATGTGAAATTCCTCAAAGAATATGTTAGGTATCACTGAAGAGCTATAGGGACTTGTACAAACCACTTTTTTATATCTAACCACACGAAAACAAGCGTGTATTCTTATCTACAATATGGAGACTGTAAAAAAGTGAGATCAAATTTGAAATTGGTCAATTCTGCTTTGGAACTATATGTAGTTCACAAAGCTGTGACAAAATCCTCATATGTACCATGGATAGATTTATAAGATGAACTTTTTTCCCCTGATTTTCTCCTGAGATAACTCTTTACTGGGAAATTGCACAGCCTGCTTTAATTATTGATGCTTTGTTTCCTTTAGCACGGAAGAAAAAAATAATTTGTGTTTTTATCTGTCAGCATCACATCACGCTTCTTTAGACTTTATATTGATATTCTGGATGTACTTCTTACGTTAAAATACGTTTGTGGCCTGATAAAATGCTCTGGGAAGATGATTGTTGAATTTTTGTGACAAGTTTCAGACTTTTGCAGGAAGTGAATAAACATTTTTGCTGACTTCCAACTCTTAAAATTTTTGGCTCGTGCTTTTGTCAAGATATCTCTTCTATTTGAAAGAAAGTGTTGAGATGTATAACATACAGGAAACACATAATGAATATGTATTTGGGAATCTTGTGCTGGAAGGAATCTCTTGGAAATGTCTCAGTTTGACCGATGGGAAGAAAAATTAGCTCCTGCTTCTTCTTGCATGTGTGCATGCGCTCGCTCGCTCGCGCTCTCTCTCTCTTTCTTTTCAGATTGGCTGAAATAGTTACAATAATGACATCAGCATCTGAAATTGGTTTTCGATTCAGTTTTGGAAGTATATGCAAAGGAAAGGTTTGCTATCTCAACAAGACTGCCAAGAGAGGGAGGCTCCACCTTCCTCTTGAGACCACAGCGATGCTTATGCCATTTGCTGACTTGGGGAAATGCCAAACGGTTATGATTTCACTGCAGGAGCAATAGAGTCATACAGGACAAAAAGAAATTTACTGATATGATAACTGATTATAGTTTTCAGTTGGATACAGCTCCATTCGTATCTCTGCTGTTCTAAGGGCGACTGTTCTCTGTTGCCTGATTCTTCTGCTACTAGAGGCTAATCATTGTTACAGGAATTGAACTCTCAATATTTTATTACTAAATCCTACCTGACATCCTGAGAAAATAGTCACTGAATCTGACAGGGTTTAAAACTGGATTTGAGTAATGCAATTCCGCTTTCAAACAGATTACCCCTGTAATTTGGTAAATAAATTTTCCTCTATTAGTGTTCATAGCAGTTGAGATGAAGCAGTGAATGTTTCAGTTGAAACTCACTTTGTTTTTTATCCCCAGTTAAGTTAATTTGCTGGCAAATAATTATTTAATACCGTACATAATATACTAGTTTTGCTCTATCAGATTAAATATTCATAATTTGTGTTATATGTTTATGGAAGTTCTTGGACAGAATGGTTCAATGTGTAAGTATAATTAGACCACCTTGCTGTTATAGTTACTACAGAAAAGAACTATCACTGGTTGTGATTCTAGCATGTATTATTTAGATTGGACATTTAGTTTCTTTTTTTTAGTAGATGTTACTTACTTTAGATTACACTAAGTTTATGGCATCATAGTTTGCATTTCATTTGCTTAGTCATATTTCTGAAGCAAAATGAGATAAGTATATAGTAAAACTCTTAGTTCTAGTCCTAATGCAATTTTCAAATGGTATTTGATGGATCAAAATGGACTCAGGTTTACATTTTGGGTATCCTTCAGCTTTTTAAATTCCTGCCATTATGTCAATTACTTTCTAAAATATTTGATTTCCAAAATTGTGTGGACCTGTAAGGATGTAAGCCTTCATGAGCCACCTGGATTGTGTATCTAACCTTGCAAAATATCCCCAAATAGTATCTTAGTGCCCTCTGTAGCTGTTGCTATTGTAGCACATTGTTGCAATCTTTTACCTTGGATAGAATTTAACACAAAATATTTCATTTATTTTAAAATGTATTGTAAATACTCATTTCTGTTTGCCATTCTAGTTCACCATATAAAAGCTTGGTCAGTACTTTAATTTTATTTTTTCTAAGTTTATTTTCCAAGCTCAGATATATACAGAAACCAAAACCGCTCAGCACTTCACTACAAGTCAGATTTATTTATAGACACCAAAAAAAAGAGAGAAAAGTTTGTCTGCTTAAATGCATCTCTTGATATTGAAACAATTAATTTCGGCAAAATTTCAAGAGAAAATATTGTATTTCTAAGTCATAACAGAGAAGAATACTGGATGCTTGCTTACCAAAAGTATTTTGTGAAATATTTATCCTTGTAATAAATGCTTCATTCGGCAGTAGATAAAACGCAGAGAGCTGAACCAAGGTCAGTGCTGTGTTGTGCTAAGCTTTCCGCAGAAGTAAAAGTTGTAAATGTGTAGGAGTGGTGGAAGAAGGAGGTAGCAAGTTAGAATATGAAAACATAGGTAGTCATTAAAAAAAAAAAAGTGTATGCAATGTGAGAGTGATGGAAAATGAGATACTTGCATCAGCAGTAATGGGAAATAACATGATGTGTGTCAGCATAGAAATTGTTTTCATTTTTTCCCTGGCAGAGTAGTGGCTAAAACTTGGGGAGGAAGAGGCTGTTGAAATTAGAATGCTGTTAAGTGGTGCACTGCTGATGACTAAACATGAGATCTGGGAAAGAAGAAGCTGTATTTAATTAGATTTGTGCCGAAAAAGAGATGGTGTCTTTTCTGTGGTTTCATAGGCCTTATTAAGCTACAGTAGAAACAATTTTCTATCGTTTTTTGGAATTTCTATCAACCCAGGAGTACTTGCTTGTGTTCTTGGGGCTCTGTGTGCATATGAAACTGTTTCATGTCTTAAGTTTAATTTCTTACTAATCTGCAAAGACTGGGTAGATACAGAGATCAGTTTGACTGATGATGATTAGAGGTGATTTGTTTTGGTTCACCTAACGCCTCCAAGCACATTAGCTAGGAGGGGAGAGCAGGTTATGGCCTTTATCACTGCTGTATTATTCTGCGATATATGCAAGTCTGTGAGGCTGTCATTTTTTTTCACAAGTAATGAGTTCACTGTGAACGGAAAAGCTGGGAGAAAGGGTTGTTCTTTAACAAGAACACATTTTTTTCTTTACAGCAGCTTTTTATTTATTTAGCATTTTTATCCAACTGTGAAATTCAAAACTGAGAAATAACTGACCCACAGTCTCACACCCCTTTCTCCTTCTCTCATGAATGAACTATTTGTTAAATAAAAAATATTTTTTTAAAAAGTGCTGTATCTGTTGTGATATCTCGTTCTGAAATTACCAGCTAGACTGACAGTGTGTGTATGTGATGGTATTTACTTATGCTTACAAAGACGGCACAGAGGTTAATCGTGAGCAAATCTGTACTGTTTTTTCGAAGATGTGAAACTGCTCTTGGTATGAATGTGGCATGTAGTAAACTGCATTCCATAAGCTTGTGAATAATACTGTTTGTCTCACAAAAGTATTTTTTCTTAAATGAAGGAGCTTCAATATCTCAGAAAAGAGCTCCTTAGTTTAAATATAACTTACTACCAGATGAATGTGGAAGGACCGGTATACTAAAAATTAGGAGTGCATGGAGTGTTATCTTCACAGTAGGAGGCAGAGGATGCAATTACAGAAAATCTGTAAAGACTGAGATGGGCAAAGTTAGTTTAAAAAGTGTAGGCAAAGATAATGAAAATGAATAAAGCTGTATCAGAATAAATCTAAATAAGATAATATCTAAGAAATCAAAATGAATCTAAATTTTACAAGTGAAGTTCATTCTTACCTCTACTAAGAGAAAACCTATGTTGCTTTTTAACTTTGTAGTTGATCCTATTCATAGGGCCAAATTTTCTCTAAATGGATTTTAATGGATTGTGTATAAACATGGCTCCCAGTGAAGCGTGTTAAGTATTCTATATACTTCCTTATTCCTTGCCATTACTACTGAATTAATTGGAATAAGTGTGTGACTTAAGGAGGTGAAGTTCTCCATGTACAAATTTTAAAAAGGCTATGAAGAAAAGGCTTTTTGTATCTTTTCTGTATCTTTGTATCTGTCTAAAGGATGTTAATCCATTGCAAGGCAATGCATGCCTGCCTGGCTGAAGTACAGAATTACTCTCACGAAATTTATTTGATTTATGCTTGCTTTGTGATCAGCGCCAAGTTGATGGCCAAATGAAATTACTATGTAAAACTGTCAGAGAAAGGTCAGCCTGAT